CCTCGAAAGAAGTCTGTATAGGCCACTTCGTCTGATAGTCCTGGAATCTGAATTCTCATCAGATTGAACCGTCTGACGTATGACCGGAGGCCCTCCCGGTCGCCCTGCTGTATTGCCCCTAGGTCGAGGCTAGTCTTTTTGGCAGGAATATTCATTGAGAAATTTGACGTAAACAAGTACGCCAAAGTTCGAAAGCTGTTGATGCAACCGGCTGGTAGGTTACCAAACCACCGCTGGGCTATGCCCTTGAGGGTAGCCGGGAAGCATCGACACCAGACGACATCATCTAACCCCTGGAGGTACATGAGGTTAGAGTAGGCCATTAGATGGTCTTCTGGGTTGGTGGTGCCGTCATAGGCCCCCACCAAAACATTCTTGATCTTAGGCGGCTGTGTCGCCTGGGTTATCTCTGGTGAGAACGCCGTTGGCTGTTCCCCCAAATTTAGCAGGCGCAGCTGCCAGTCCGTGGGTTGGAACGGCTGCTGCGCTTGCCCACCGAAAAGACCCGGTGACATAAAAGGGGATCCACCCAACCCATTCGGTGTGCCGAATAGGCCAGGCTGGATCACTTTGGGTCCAGACCGGGCAGAAGCTTCGCCCGTCTGGTTCCCAAGGTTCGTTCCCGTACGCCTGTGTGAGACGTCATGGAAACTGTCCGGGAAGGTCGACGTTGAGGCCGACGCAGACGCCTGACCTCGCTTCTCTTGGAGAAAAGTGCGGGCGTCTGAGAATGTTTTCTTGGAGCCATCCGGCTGTACGTGCCGGATGGCCTTTCGCAGCTCCCCTTGAGGAAAACGGAGTCTGCTTGGATCAAACCTTAAGCCCTCCCCCTCCTTTGGCTTGGGATGAGGGGTAGGAACTCGTTCTTTGACCGCCTTCTTTCCAGAAGGCTTCTTGGGCGGATGACCCTTCTTTGGAGTAGCTGACCGGATGAGGCTCTTGATCTCACCCTTGAAACTATTCATGAAAGACATGAGTTCGTTTCTTGTAACGGGGGCTGAGCCCTCCACCGTTTGGGCAATTCCAGCCGGTTGCCCGGCTGGGTTGCTGGGAGCAGCTTGGCTGATTTCCCGTTCTCTTCTATCTTTAGCACGAGGTGCTTCGTTCTGAAAGACCCATCCGGGGCCACATATGTTTCAATTTCGTCTCCACTTTCATGGTCCGTCTGGACCTCAGGCTCGACCACAGGCCGTTTGCCCTGATTCGGTGACACAGTATCAGAAGTCATCTTAGAAGTACTCTCCCCACAGACGGCGCCAAATGTTTCGGGGTATTTTGATGTGTCCTGCGGGAGAGTTACAATTCCAAGAATGCCCTTCGACGCCTGTGCCTGCAAAATCACGAAGACTCCTGGGGGTAGGAGCTCCGCCTCCGACGATCAAGTTAGTAAAGATACGGGAGGTAGAATGCACGTAATGTAGAAGTTACTTCTCGCGTAATGGGAGAATTCTGCAATTAATATTGCTCCGGGTAAGTGTTTTTCTTTTTGAGGAGTATTCAATGTGAACCACAAATGTTCCAGCCCTCCATTAATGAGGGTCCTTCCACTATTTATAGTGGGGAAGGGATGGTTTCCCTTTTAGGGTTTAGAGGACACGTGTCAGCAGAGGATTGGAGCCCTGCTGACCAACGGCTGGATGCCACGTGTCACTAGGCCATTGGGCCACGTGTTTAGGGTATTTTTACCCCAAACAGTAGTAATCTACTACGCGGAGTATAAAATAAGATTAATTTATTCTTATGGTCTCCTACTAACTTAGCTTAAGCTGCCCCTAATGACATTTTATTATAGAAAGATTATTACATTAAGTGAAAGTGATTGGTTAATTAGGTATGACGCTATAACAAAAATGGTCCAATTAACTTGTGCATGTCTTGGTTGTTTCTGGCTGCTTATGTAATATTTTGAAGCACTTGGATGAGATTATACTACTGGAAGGTTATACCAGGCCAATTACCATATTTATAAAAAAAAAAAGGGGGTATCACTTTGCGTTGCCTTTCTTAATAGTTTATTTATTTATTTAATTATTAAATAATAATACGGAATATTATTGCTATATACTACGTACAAGTATTAATTTTGGCAAGATTGCAAGGTATAATGGGGCCTTAGTGCTCGTCAAAAAACGAGGGGTAAGTGGACCATCTCAGACTCAATCCATTTAACCTATTACCTATGATACTGTCTTGATAAGTATTTTAGGGGAAAAAAAAAACTCATACTATCATTAATAAGTTCTTCAGAAAAAAGTGGGAGAGAAAAATTATTTTATAAAAAGGGAATTGAAAAAAAATACTTCGTATGAGTTTTAATTAGTGAACCATTTTGTAGATGCACAACATCTTGCTTTGATAATTGGAACCTTTAACATAAATAACAAGAAGAAAATAATAAAGAAGTCATAGAGTCTTAGCCCACATTAGCCTCATGGGTGTTGATTTGCAATTTGATAAAACTTTGTGTAGAAAGAATCATAATCCACAATTCCACATCATTCTTGTAGTGTATATAGAGTAACGAATGACTTATGATGTACTTGTTGGCATACCAAATTGATCATAGGTCTTGGATGTTAACCCCGGCTCAAATCTTATACAACTAAGTTATTGACATCTACTAACTTATTACATTATGATTCGTGTGAAGTATAAACACGTTCGATAGTAGGTTTTTGAAGTACTTCAATTGTAGGCTTTAGTGCTCGTGAATATACCAGGCCTACAATCTCTCAAGCTAATGATTGTTTTGAGCCTATATATGACTTCAGTCACAAACCCTTAATCACACATAACACACTGTTCTAGTATTCTCTATGTACTACTTTGCCTTTTTTTTCCCCTCTTCATCCCAAGTACTTGATTCTCTCTCTCTCACTCTATGCTCATAAAACTCGAAGTTAATAAACAAAACTCAAGCAAAATTAAATTGGGCTTGTTTGACATTGCTTTATTTTTCTGTTTTTTGTTTTTCAAAATCATATGATATATGTCATATAATGAATCAAAAATTAGTCAAACTTATTAAAATCATGATAACTTTGAAAACTGACAATAGAGTGGAAACACATTTTTCTTGTTTCTTGTTTTTGGTTTTTTGTTTTTAAGAAAAAGAAAACTTAAATTAAAAAACGATGCCAAACAAGCCCTTAACTAGTTGAGTCAAAACGAAACGTATATACTTGTATTTTCCGGCTATTAAGATTGTTGGGAATTTAGGCTACCTAGCCATTATTTTATCTATAAAAATATCGATAATGATAAAGTAATTCTTCTTAATTATTTTTATTATAAGGAGGAATGTACATATGTACAACGAGGTATGTTAGCAAAAAGTAGTGGTTATTGGATTCAGTATACCTGCATAAATGAGGACATTTCGAATCATTCTTGGAGTGCTAAATTTTGCGATCAAGCTGTCACTTTATTAGTTTATTGTAGTCTAGCCTTTAAGTCGTGGTTCCAACAAGTTTCACGTGATACAATCTACCATTAGACTTTGATTAAATATTGCCAAGCTACTTAGCTTTGCAGATTATATTATAGGCAATTGCTACAGCTATCATTTTTAATTAGAGGGGACTTAATTAGGTCAAGGAAATTAACGGTTTTGAAAGACAAATTGCACCATAGAGGCAGCAATTATTTGGACCACTCGAGGAACTAGCATAGAGGCCGGTCTATCTTAACGGTTCCCTTTTTTAAGGTTTATAAAATACTCTCTATAATACGGGGTAATTATTGTCTTTTATTTTATCTCAATCACTATGATCAAGTGATGACACATCTATAAATTTAGATATATATATAATTCAACGTTAAGAAATGAAATGATTTTTTTTTTTTAAATCTCAAAAAATACAACGATTATTATTTCAAATTGAGGATAAAAAAACCTTGTATAAGATTGTAATTTTCCTTATTGCTTTAATATTGATCTACTTGTACTTAATTTGTATGGTTTTTCTTTCCTTGTTTGGTGGTAGAGACTAGAAAGCAGATATTCCACACAATACATTTCAAAATAAAAAAAAAAAGTAAGGATATTTGTAGAAATTCTCCTTGTTTCGAGGGATTTGTTCTTGCTTGAAAAAATAGGGTGTTGAATATTAAAATGAAATTTTCACAAAGTATGGATTTTGCAAGATTGCATGAAGTTTGATCCTTTCCTGGATTCCACCAAACATAATATTATGTCGACCAAAGTTATAGGGGCAGTTTATCTATTTCATTTATGCTTTTAGGAGACAAATCCATAAATTTAAGCAAAAATGAAAGAATTAAACAAACAGTAAAGCTTAAAAAAGAATGAAAATGTTTTTTTCGAGAAGCAAAATTACCAAAAATGGTCAACAACATACATAACCTATTGCTTCGACTTGAGCTATGAAGTCCTTTGACTCCTTTCAAAAAGCACTTCTGAAGTTCTGAGCCATCATCATAATGCACAAGCACATCGTTTATTGTCAAAGACTTGATGCATGAGAGCCATTGTATAACATATAAAAAAAATCGGCTCATTTAAGTCTCGAGCAAACCTTGAAGTCATGTTAAGTTTACTCAAGATGAGTTTTTCTAGATCTACTTTGGGTGGCTCGCGAGCAAGTTAGCCAGTTAGGCATCGTTATCACTCCTAAGAGAAATAAATAAAACTAAAAAAAATACACCAAAAAAATTCCAGTTTAAGTAGTAGTCTTCTAACTCATACATGTTTGATGTATATCTCTGAAATGAAGAAATGCAAAAAAAGTTTAAAAAATAACCTCTTTGCCTACTAGGCCAGTTTCTGATTAGCCGGTTATCAGTTACATACAAAATCAAAATATCTACTATTCATAATCATAACAAAGGTCGCAATTATAACTTTATAAGCACTATAGTTGTAGCTGTTAACCTTAAAGTTAGAAGTTAAAATCACCTTCTCAACATTGAGGTCGGATAGAATTGTAATTTCGGCTAAGTAACGTGATGAATACTGTATATGTTCTGAACTGAGGTAAGCTCGTACCACCGTCCAAAGGCTACAGTTATTAAGCTAGTTATTATTTTACGCTAAGATTATCTCAAGGTAACCAAACTACAAGTAAGATCACCAGTATTGCTTAGAACAAAATATAGCGTAGAATAATCAATAATCAAGTATTAAGCGGCACATGTTTTGGGTCAGGTTAATTAGGTTTGTTTGGCTCTAGAGATCATCCTATCCTGAAAATAGAAAACGGAAAGGAAAAAAAAAAAAAAACTACATTATCTTATGGCTAGCACCAGAATTGAGGTTTCTATTTATGCCGACAGCTTGAGGAAGAATAAACCATGATCATAAGCTGAGATTCAAGTCAATCTCGTTATGATTCATGAGTTTCTTGCAAGGCTGCTGTTTTGGAGTCCGAAAACTTCCAGGCCAAACCAATGCCGCCATTTCTTCTTCAGGCCTATATAGATTACCACTCCATGTGGTTCCAAACCCACAGCTGAATTCATTATACCGAGATTCACTCGACATCAATATCTCTCTGCTGACAGACTTTTGAATGAGTGAATGCGGCTGAATACCAAGTGACCTAACAACTCGAGCACTGCAAATAGGTGACACTGACCTAATTTCTTTCATCAATAGTCTATGCCTCCTAGCTTCCCTTCTCTCTCTCTTGTGTGCATTCTGATGGCCACCCAGCGCTTGTGAATTAAAAAACTTCCTTTGGCAAAAACTGCAATTAAAAGTCTTAATCGTACCACCACAGTCTGAATCTACCTCAGCTGTAATAAAGCGTAGGCTTAACCAATTACCTATCTCAACATTGATCTCGTTTTGATCATTGTTGACAGTTTGGTTTTGACCATCTTCCCTCTCCAAAACCATTTTAAATCCGACAATTTTTCTTCTTGCAGGGAGAAGGACTAGACATGCATACTCTTAAATAAGAGTAGGAAAGATGAAGAAGCATCTTAAAGATCCTAGTGGAAAAGGATGCTTCTCTATTAAGATAAACACAACTTTCTGATTAACATATCATCAAAAAAATCCTTATCTCAACTTTAAGTGCAGCAGGTTTCTGTCAGGATTTTGGTTCCATCATCAACTCCTCCTATTTCTATCCCAAATCAAGTAGGAGTGTAGGACTATAATTATTGAAGAATAAGATTCTTTGGTAGTTGGGATGGTGGGAGTTATTCATACTGCTTTTCCTAACCTTTTCAAATGTTTTGTTGGAGTAACTACAGTTGATCAAGATTCTCCTTTCCAAGGAGAAAGATGTGTTGGAAAAGCTGCATTCTGCTTCTGCCCCATACTTTTCGGTAAGCCTGTTAAGAATGAGGGCAACTTGCTATAATTTGGACAGCCCCACATTTACATGTACAGAAATTAATAGACGTTTATGGTCTAATATTTTTGAGTTCATTCTAATAAGGTACTTATAATCAAAGCCAGAAAATATCGGCATTTTTTACCAATCATCTGCAGTTCTTTATTCCATCTTGCAGCTCTGATTCATACATTTAGCACTTATGAGAAAGAGTTCAGTATTACTCCATTAAAATTCTGACGCATAATCCTTAAAGCTGCACTTAACATTTTCATTCAGTAAATGCAACACATAACTAATTTTTCTAAATCTCACCTCCTACTGATCCTCTGCTTCTCCCCACCATAACCAACCTTAACTTCTACCCCACAAACAAACCAAAAAAAAAACCTAGAAATTTATCCTACAATGCCTCTTTTCCTTTTTGGGTAAACCAAAATATAATGCCTCTTTCTATTTAAATGTTGTATTTTTTTTGACAAAATTACCCTCTTTTTAATGAGTTGTCATCTTTTTTCCTTTTCTTTTTTGTATTTTTAACATCAATTTCCAACACTTTCTCTCTCTATCTCTTCAATTATTCCCAAACTACTTTTTCTTTCTCTCTATATCTCTCTAACCCCACATGTACATATACTTCTAATCATTAGTTTTAAGGAATTTACAACTTTCTTAATTTCCGCACAAGCATTATTGTGAGACGGAGGGAGTATTACTAAAAAAATTACAGTACAAGCATTTCAATTTTAAAGAAGAATATTCCTATTGCTATAGCTGTTTTTGTGCTTCAAATTTTCTATGGCATCCTAGTAAAGTTAGCAAGTTGAAAAATTGCTTAGCATATACTTCAAGATGGATGTCTATTCTTTCCCATTTGGAGTCCCCAAAATTACTACTGTGTATTCTAGTTTTGATCAATAAATTCTTTTGCATTTGATCAAAACAGAACAATTCTTTTGCATTTGATCAAAATGGAACTATCTGATAACTACCCTAATCAAACAGGGTAGCAAGATAAGATCAAAGTTTTTAAGGCTCCATGGTCAGCACTGTGGTTGTCTGGTCTACATTACGATAAATTCTATATTGTATACTAGTATTTTTACATGAGACAGCATGTTAACTCAAAATGGTGTCCCATAGCTAATGCAGCTAGAGTCCAGCTTCCAGAGTCTATCTTATCCCTTAACACACCCTTCTTTCTGGAAAAAAAAATCCTTTGCATAGCTCAGCAAATTAAAGACCGACTCAAAGTAGCAATCTCCAGTAATCAAGTAATACGATTCCTAGGTTAATACTACTTGAAGAACTAATCATAAATCTAACAGAGTGATAGAATCATAGAACGATCTTCATCCCAGACATGGGAAGGGAGGGGGGGAAGGAACATAAAAATCTTGAGCCACAGTATACACAAATGGGGTAAAAAAGTATAAATGCAAGCGGAAGCAAGCAACAAAAAACTGACTAAATGGGGTACCATCAATCCCTTCAATAGTTTTAATAAAAAAAGAATCACCTACATAAAGTAATGTTAAAAAGATTATTTATAGAAGTATTCAAGAAAAATCTAACTTGATCTTCACAAGGTTATTGAAAGTAAACTTCCCAACAGATCCTAGGAAAGTGTAGATGAAACCTACTTATATTTAATCCAGCAGCCTACTGCAAGTTGGAGTGTTCCATGCACCAATTCAACTGCCATCAACTGAGTAAATTCCTTTTTTTTTTTTCCTTCACCAAACTAGGCAATTTAAGTACCTAAAACGTTAACAAAATATATTAAGAAAAAAAATCATCAACAATAATGGTGCATGTGCACAACATGAATCAAACTGTTATAAACATAATCTGGAAGACAAGAATGTCAGCAGAATTAAGATGATCTTCACAGCTCAAATACACTAAAATCTGACATCATATTTATTGTACCTTTTTATATTTTTTTTGGGAAAGGAACTCAATATAGGTTTCTTGTTCAGAACCTCAGTTCATATTATAAAATTATGCTTCTATTGTTCCTTGTTGCTTAATGGTTACTACATTCAGTAGTGCGTTCTTTGAAGTTCAACAAATGCCCACAACCCTAGGGAGAGATGCCTTATCTAATTCATCATAGTGCTAGCAAAAAATAACATTCAACAAGTATTTACAATTATACAATATAAATATTCAAGGAATACACATCAAGGTTTGTTACCTATGTATTCCATCAAAGTGCTAGCAAAAAATACAATTGCCAAACATGACTTGGATAGTGGTGTCAAAAACAAATCATACAAACCCAACCCAAACTTGAACCCGTCCCAAAAAAACCAAATTCGGAGTTTGTCTTGTATGGACACAATAATTTAGCATGCCTTAAATTTAAAAATGGACCTGACGGGACCTGACCTCAACGAACCCAAACGTCCGATCCGGACACCCGAATTCACAACTCTAGACTTGGATAGAGGAAACAAGAATGACATGACGATTATGGGTTTGCAAAAGCATGAAGTAGATGCGAATAGAGGAAAAGAAACTTCTTGGATGATCAAGAGAGATAAGTTTTTGGTTTATGCAGCCAAACCAAACCTTTTGGGAATAAGGCTTTTTTTTTTGCTATTGTCGTCGTCGTTGTTATTGTTACCCATGTTACTAGGACTCAAGTACATGTCGGAGTATTTTGGCTACGACATATATACTTAATGTAAAATGAAAAATCACAATAACTGTTACACAAAAACACCCTCCTTTTTTCAAGGAAAGCAACCCTGTCCCTTATGGTACTTACACATCAAGAGAGGAGGGAGGGGGAACGAAAGAACCTAAGAGCTCAATTCTTTTCTTGACAAATCTCCCTTGCTTGGAGAACAAAAGAAGTGACAAGGGTTCAAGCTAATTTAAATCAGAATACAAACCCCGATATGCATTTTGGCATTAAAAGCGACAAGGGTGTACTTATGGTAATCGGTTGTACTTAATGGCTAAGGGCTAGAGGTTTAGCATCTAGCCTTTCTTCAAATCTATGAGGGGCATGTGAAGGCGTGAAGACCACAACTAAAAAAAAAATCACATTATTATTCTTCATTTCCCTAAACTCATACTAGAATTCCTTACAGATGTGCCATCTTAAAAAGAACAAAATGGCATTTTTTCCCTTAAAAAACAATGCACCTTGTGCAACTGATGCCCATGCCAGTGCATGAGGCCCATGACCTCATACAGTACAGTCGTGCCTGAGCTCCAAAAAACTTCTGCAAATTAGACTTCTCACTCTTTTCTCAATAAAGGCATTGGATATGCAATTTGGCATCTTGCAAGTTAAAACAATGCATGTTGTCTTCCAATTGGACAATTGACCCAAAAGAATTTGTTTTACAAGTAATGGAAATATTAAAGATCAAGGCACACACAAACCTGTCAATATTCTTGGTCAACAAAACAAATCCAAACACTTCACTTGTATCTGGTATAATGTCCAAATATATCTTATAACCAAAATTCACTTAATAGCTGAAACATATAAATTAATCACCAAATTCAAGATGCGAATAGCCAGCCAATGTCATTCTAATCTAAGTTCATCCAATGTCTTTCTAATCTAAGTTCATCCAATGTCATTCTAATCTAAGTTCATCCAATGTCATTCTAATCTAAGTTCATCCAATGTCATTCTAATCTAAGTTCATACAATGTCATTCTAATCTAAATTCATCCAATAACTACAAAATCAAACCGTTGAAAATGCAGCAAATCTCAACAACATAAAAGCAATTGAAATGAACAATAAAGGAAAAGCAAACGAACACAAATATAATCGTATAATGCCACAAAAAAAATTGAGACTCACTAAGTGTGAGGGAAATAGAGAGAGGGGAAAGGAGAGAGAAAATTAGCGATCTTGACAAGTGCGACAGAAGGTACCCTGAGACAACTCGCAAAAAGCCCTAGCGTCGACTGCAATGTAAGATGTCAATCGAGTGTCGACCACCACCGAATGCATCGGCATCAACGATTGCGCGCATCCCAACACTTCAACGCTCCTGAACAATTGATAATGAATTCATAAATATCAAAATTTGCAGAAATAAGAGTGAAAAATCACAGAATTGAAAAATGGGGCGGAAAAACTGGTACCTAGGGTTGGTGAAAGAAAGACGGCGAGAATTGCGAGCGGGGTTAGGGAGAAGCGGCGAAGGAGGGCGGCGGAAGGCGGTGGAAGGGCGGATGGAAGGAGATCTGGTTGCGTTGAGGAAAGACCTTGAGAATGATCCACTTCTCCACGCCATTGTTGTTTGTTTTCAGTTTGGGTGCTCAATTGCTTGCTCAGAGTTGAGTGAGGAGGGTTTACTGAAATGTAGGGTTTAAGCCTTTAAGGGGATATGGTAACAATAACGTCTGGTCACCAACGTCAAGGGCACCAACACTATATGAAATATAATCTATCTAAACCGATATTAATAAATCTTAGGTAGTGTTCGGCGCTAATTTTTTAGTAGCTTTTAGTGGTTTGAAAAAGTCAAATCACTACTTAACAAAAAATAGATTGTTTGATAATATAGTGGTTGGGATAGATTTGAGTGGTAGAGGTAGCTTTTATCAAAAGTTAAAACTATTAGTTTTTGAAATTAGAGGTAGCCATTGACATAGGTATTGAAAATTTAATCTATAGTTTTTTAAAAAAATATTGATTTTTATATATAACAACTAGTCAACCGCTACTTTACCAAACATTCATATCTAAATTATTTATCTTCACAGTTAACAGCTACCTAAATAGCTAACGGCTATCTTCACAACAATATTTTGCCGAACACGCCATAATTTATTCAAGTACCTATCTATAAACAAGTTCACAACCCAATCTAATGATGTCAAGTAAAACACTTACGCCTTATTAATTGGACAAGCAAAGTAACATCTGTTCAAAGTTTATTGGTGTAGATTTTTTTTTTTTTTTAAATCCATATACTTGGTGTAGTTGGTAACTTTAGAGCTTCACTTTCTGATCTCATGGGTTCAATTCCTGCCTGTTCGTATATAGGCTAGTTAACCTATGACTCTATGAGAGGTACTGATCTTGTTGAGTCATTCTCCATAACAAAAAATAATAATAATAAATGTTGATTTTCTCAATAATATTTTATTTTATTTTTCTATACATATAAGCGTTGGATATTACATTTTTCATAATTTAGCTTTAGTTGAGTAGTTTAGCAAATACGAAGTAGTATCAAACATCAATTGATGTAGCACTTGAAAAAAAAAAAAAAAAAAAAAAAAAACACATAATCACTTTGTACTACGGAGTACAACATATAGCCGAACGAAAAACTTAAATCACCTCTCCATAAACCCAACCCGCCATATAGATTGCCTTATGGCCCTTATCAAACCGAAGTGAGCAGAATTAGGCAAATCCGCAAATGGCTTATACAATAATACAACTCACAAGTAATTAAATCAGCAATCAATTGAGAGTTTGAGACATAAAATTTTCGTTACAAATGGCTTTTTATTTTTGAATAACCGGTAAAATTCAACAACTCCACTTGTAACAAACGCCATGTCTTCCTCTCCTCTGTTCACATCCCAACCATCACCACCCCTAACCAGCCGCACGGCCCGTACTCAAAACCTATCTCCACCGTCGAGCCACCGCCCACCACCGGAAAAACTCGCATTTTTGCTCGACAAATGCAGGAATCTCACCCATTTACTCCAAATCCACGCCGTAATTCTCCGGCACGGCCACGAAAACAACCCCATTTTGAACTTCAAGCTTCAAAAGACCTACTCTTCTGTTGGACATCTTGACCGATCTTTCTCTCTCTTCAAAAAGACAGCAAACCCAGATGTATATTTATACACTGCTATCATCAATGCTCATTCTTCTCGCGGATTGCATCTTCAGGCTTTTGAATTATATGTTCAGATGTTAACTCAAGGTGTTGAGCCCAATGTCTTCACTTTCTCTTCCCTATTGAAATCTTGCTTGATTAAAGATGGGGTTTTGCTCCATTCGCAAGCAATTAGGTTTGGATTTGATGGGGATTTGTTTGTAAGAACTGGAATTTTGGATGTGTATGCTAAAGGTGGGGATTTGGTTTCTGCACGCCAACTGTTCGACACAATGCCTGAGAGAAGTTTGGTTGCAGTGACCGCGATGCTAACTTGTTACGCAAAGCATGGGCATCTAGATGATGCTAGAGTGCTGTTTGATGGGATGGTGGAGAAGGATGTGGTGTGTTGGAATGTGATGATTGATGGGTATGCTCAACATGGAAGGCCTAATGATGCATTGGTGCTTTTTCAGAAAATGTTGAAGGCGAAATTGAAGCCTACCGAAATTACTGTTTTATCAGTATTATCTGCTTGTGGGCAACTTGGGGCACTTGAGTTAGGCAGATGGGTTCATTCTTACATTGTAAATAATAGAATTCAAGTTAATGCTCATGTGGGTACGGCTCTTATCGATATGTATGCTAAATGTGGTAGTTTGGAGGATGCGAGACTTGTGTTTGATGGTGTAAAAGGGAAGGATGTTGTTGTTTGGAATTCGATGCTTGTTGGGTATGCAATGCACGGGTTTAGCCAAGAGGCATTGCAGTTGTTTGATGAGTTGCGCGAGAAGGGATTTCGCCCAACTGATATCACCTTTATTGGTGTCCTGAATGCTTGTGCTCATGCTGGTTTGGTATCCGAAGGGAAGGAGTTTTTTTCTCTGATGAAGGATGCTTACAGTCTTGAACCGAAGGTTGAGCATTATGGATGTATGGTAAATCTTCTTGGGCGCGCTGGGCATTTAGAGGAAGCTTACAACCTTATCAAAGGCATGAATGCCGATCCTGATCCTGTTCTTTGGGGAACATTGCTAGGTGCTTGCCGTCTACATGGAAATAATTCTCTAGGAGAGGAAATTGCCAAGTTTCTTGTCAGCAGAAACCTAGCAAGTGACGGGACATATGTTCTTCTATCGAACATATATGCAGGAGTAGGGGACTGGGATGGTGTAGCCAATGTGAGGGCCATGATGAAAGAGAGAGGGATACAGAAGGAACCTGGTTGTAGTTCTATTGAGGTGAATAACAAGGTACATGAGTTTCTTGCTGGAGATTTGAGACATCCAAAGAGCAAAGACATCTATAAGATGTTAGAAGAGATGTATAAGTGGTTAAAAGATCATGGTTACTCCCCTCAGACAGAGACCGTACTACGTGATGGTGGAGAGGAGGAGAAAGAGCAATCTTTGGGAGTTCATAGTGAGAGACTTGCTATTGCCTTTGGCTTAATTAGCACTTCTCCAGGAACTACAATCAAGATTGTGAAGAACCTTCGCGTATGTTCAGATTGTCATGTAGTTACGAAGCTGATCTCAAAGATTACAGGACGCAAGATAGTTGTGAGGGATAGGAACCGATTCCACCATTTCGTAAATGGCATGTGTTCTTGTGGAGATTATTGGTAGTTAAGGAAGACCATGATTGAAGAGTTAAAATTATCAGAGTTGTTGTCTACTGTATGAAATTACTAGTATATATACCAAAATATGATCCTAAATACAAATCTCCAAAATCAATCCCTCACGCAGCATCCAAGCAAACAAGAAGCTTTAAATTGGATGAAGAAAACAACGCAAACAGCCTAGTAAAACTTCAGCAACAACCAGCTAGAAAAATCATGAAGCCCTCATTCCCTACTGACACAAATAGAGCTAAGGTAGGATGAAACAGGACATGTAAAATGCGTATGCCGATAACCTGTAGATCCAAAGCAACTGGAGACTATAATAATAGAAAATCAGAAGGGCCATAAACTTTGATCTCAAGTGTAATCTGCACAATTGTAATTTAAATATTTAATTACGGTTATCAAATAGCATAATTGTATATTGCGGACCAAATCTACATCACTAATGAACATCTAATCCTAACCCAAACTACAGAAAGAATTCCAAGTACTTTCTAAGCTAAGCCAAAACGTTAAAGCTCGGCATCATCTAGTTCTCATGCATGCTCTGTGCCTCTGACTGCTACATTCTGAAATCCAAAACGCATACAGTATTGTTGGCAAAACATGCGGCGATTTTGTCGCCTTCCTTATTCCAACATACTTCGAATATGCCCCCGTTTCCAGAGTACGTCTTCACAATCTTTCCCTCCTTTAGGGACCACACGTGCAACGATCTATCCAAAGACCCGCTAGCCAAATATTCACCATCAGGACTGAATGCAAGTGAGTATACAGCTTCCCTGTAAATGGAACAAGATCAGGCTTCATAGAAAAACATAAGCAGCTACTTCATATAGAGATATAATCAAACAATACAGTCAGATGGAGATCAATAGATCATAAACATTCCAAGAATCATACTATAAACTTCTGACCAAACTCTACATGCCCGCCCCTGTCTAGACTATACAAGCCTTTTGTCAACTATACACCCCTTTCACAACCCACGACATGATTAATAATGCTTTTCTTCTACTTATCCAACAGGACACATGAAGCAGTATCAGAGACCCCCTCCTTTTCCATCCCCAACCAAATGTGACTTGTATTCTTACTCAGCCAGTCAGCCTCATTTCTGGGCAACTCCGGACTCTGGATCATCATGTATCTCGTAGCTTATTATGTGGTCATATTGCTTTCCTATTTCAATTTATAATATAGTTTTGCTGACCTCATTTAGAGTAGTGCTTATGATACACTACAAGTACAAGACAGAATAGCTAATTTACTGATCATCTAAATTTTAATTATATTTGTAATTCCTGTCACTTCAGTAAAATATGAACTCCATCAAATGAACTGTGAACAGAGCAAAATGCGTAGTAGTTATTAAAAAAAAGTCATATTTTCTTATCTTCCTCTCCCATCATAATGAGAGGCCCCCAACATAATCCATGTTTACAAATCGCATCGTATCAAAAAAAACCATCAATCATAGACCAACTACATCTCAAATGATGAACTACCTGTGACCATTCAAGTTATGCAGTAGTTTTCCGAGCTCCACATCCCATAGTTTCACAGTGGAATCAAAAGATGCACTGCAAGAAAAATAATCATAGAAGTGCATAAATCAGCAAAACAAATTAGATGGAATGGCAGGTGCATTCATTCTATAATCTTCCTGTTGCAGACTGTAAATTGATTTGAGAAATAATAAAAACATATATATGGGAGGTAAAATTGTCCTCTCTTTAAGAAAGGTATGCGTAACAATGTAACATGTGTCATGACTCATAAGAGATGTCAGCCTACATTCTAGCAAGTCAAGCCAATAGATAGTCTTGAGAAAATTATAGCCGTGATTGCATTGTGAATTTAGCTCCTTTTTAATCTCATTTTCCAAATAAATGGAAAATGAATGAAAAATAAATTGGAAAATGAATGAAAAATAAAAAAATTTATACGAGTACTATCGCTTCTTTCAAGTGCTAGGCACCTCAATAACAAGAAGTAGGAATCAGATACTACAGCATTTCAAAAAACCACAAGACTTGCATAATTATAATATGAAGTTTTTTATTTACAATAAATAAATAAGCCTTCAACATGCCCAAGCAGAGAGAATTTGTTCATACTAGCTACATGCTATTCTTAAACCATTGAGTATAATAGGTGAGCATAAATAGTACATGTAAGCCATGAAGATGCCAAAAGTAAAATACAATGATCTATAGCTACAAGTCAACAGCAGAACCATAATTGATTATCCTGTCAATCCATGATACATTAATTGCATTAGAAACAGTAAAGAAGAACATTACCTGGCAAGAACCAATTGTTGATTGGGATTGTTAGTGCCAGAACCTGTAGGGCTCCACCTTATAGTGTATATCTCCTAAAATAAAATATATGATATATAGATTTGAGATTGACGCTATATTAAGATTCCATAGCAGAAAATAAATTTGTAATCAAGAAAAGATCAAAGCAAACCTTCGAATGATCTCTTAAATCATGAACAAAAACATCATGCTTCATACTCCAGACCTGCACATCCATTTCACATATGGATTTACAAATCAGCATATAATATGAAAAATAACCTATGAAAAAATAATACCGCAGAGAAAGAAAAAGCACACCATATTTTCACAAAAATGACGGGAAAACTTCATAGTAATTAGAGAGATAAAGGGTGTTCATATCCCTTATAGGTTTAATTTTGCTAATCATTACTATAAATATAGCTCAAAAAACTAAAGATTTCACAATAAAAATTATGGGAGATCTCATATCTGAGTTTCTCTACTTGGTCTTAATGCCTGACAATCTATTAGTCAACCACAATGACAACCCAGTATGAATTCTACTGACAAATTTTGATAAAATAACAACCATATGCAGCCTTAAGTCCTCAACCATAATTTGTCACAAACTCTTGGTAGGAAAATGGAAAAAGAAAATATTGTACACATTACATAAGAATACTTCATATAACGTTAAAGAATCTTAGTAGCTGCTCATCAAGCGTTTCAGATCAATTTATCAAGTATTCATTTCCTCTCATTCTTAGTTTGGAAAGTATTCACGCTTTCATACCTAAAAGAAGTTATTCTCCTACACCGTACGAAACCAACTAACACAGTATTGAAGATATTGCATAGAGAACAGAGAAAATAATAAATAGATCAGGCCAGCAACGGATATTACACATAACTAAAGCTAATAAGAAAAAGAAAAACCTTTGCAGTGCTATCATCCGAGCAAGAGGCCAATAATGTCCCAGTTGGGTCCCATTTCACACAGTTAACTTCACCCTGAAATTGCAAAAATATATATACAAGGAAAAAAATTATAAAATACTAACAATAGTTAAAACATCCTGTAGCATTATTCAGTAAAAACTAGGGGGGGAAAAAAAAAATCAAAGTATTCAAAGAACACATTACTCAGCTGCATCCAAACCCATATAGCCCTGAACCCCCACCCTCCAAAAAAAAGGTAGTCAAAGAACAACCAACAATTTGAGCCACTTAACTAAATAAATCTAAGAATACTTTGGATTGATGCACTCAGTTCTCAAACATAACAAACAATGGACAAAAAACTAAATGCCCACCAAATTCTGAATTATAGTCAATCTCATATTCTCAACTGGAAAAAAAAAAAAAAAAAAAAAAAAAAAAAAAAAAAAAAAAAAAGCAACACAATAACAGAGAAATACCCAAAAGTTGTTATCACAAGGCCAGGCTATAAGCAGACAGTACGCAAGAATCCATAAAACGTATTCACATATATTAAGCCATTTTATCCAGCAAGTGCTATGGCAGTATGGCTTATGGGAAAATACGAGACATGCATGTAAAAACAACAAAGAAGAAGAAAACAAACCTTATGACCTGCAAAGGTTTTGACAGGGCTGCTTTCCCCGACTTTACATACATAAATCATGTTATCTGTAGAACTTGTTGCAAAAGAAACATTGTTCCGCCAGTCAACATCTAAGGTCGGACCTACAAAAAAGAAAACTTGAGTATAATGCACATATACAACTATCTTAAAAGCTAAAAATATTCCATTGTAAAGTTAATAACAGCCCCTTTTAAAAAACACCTGAATGAAACTCAAACTGCTGCTTTGGCTCTTCTGCCTTCACATCCCACACAATGGCTGTTTTATCACAGCTACCAGTAAGAAGATAATCACCCTTCTTGTTCCATTTTAAGGAAAATATTGGCCCCTTGTGTCTACTTAATGTACTCTTCAGGTCACCTGGTCATCAATAGAAATATATATATGAAAAGGAGCTATAGTATCTAGACAACAATCTACTACACAGCTCATGCATTAATCAGCTTAATAATGACTACCTTACTCTCAAAAAGCGCTGATCAGAAAATACAATTTCCCACAATTATCAATGACCAGAAGAAATCTAATTAGCCATTGCACTCCATAACAAATCCTTCCAATTATATTACTTATATATGGTTTAGCTTGCTTTCTTAACAGCCACTCTCATAAGTCTTAGATTAACCCCCCCCCCCCCAAAAAAAAAAAAAAATAAATAAATAAATAAAATAAATAAATAAAATAAAATAAAAACAAATACTGTAGTTTGTACTTTGTAGTCAGTGGCTTAGGGAAACTTTGGAAGCCAGCAGTCATGACTGTTAACCAGTAAAGACCAATAGACTGTCCAGTTTTTCCACAAGTCACCTAGCAAAGATGAGAACCAGATATAGACGTACCATTTGTGTTCCAAATTCTTGCCTGGCCATCATAAGACCCTGTAGCAAGAAGGGTACCATCCCCCTGCAAAGGAAACAACAGAAAAGAACTTAGAGCAAAGAAGTTGCAGCAGTACACTAAAATTCATATAAAACTCAGGTAACGAAAATGAATTTTCTTTTGATCTGCAGGCTAGATCACTAGAACATGCAACAAACAAATTTTGATTCTGTTCTTTACATTATTAAACTACTTCACCCACCGTAGAGGTCTTGTCAATCTAGTGAACTTTATTGATTATTACTGAGCAACATATAATAATATGATGCAAAAACTAGAGATGGCATACATTTAAGCAATTTAGGAAATAGCTCTAGTACAACTTACATTCCAATCAAGAGTAGTAACGTCTTTGCTTTTCTCATTTGTTTTCCCCTTAACATGCTTCAACACAACAACGTTTGTGGATCCATTGTGTGATCTAGAACCTTTCTCAGGCATTGTCCAAATCCGAGCCGTTGAATCCCCAGAACTAAAACATACAGAAATAAAGAGTCAAAATCAAAAGAGAAGCAACTTTAACCTTCCACAGTGTCAAAGGTAGAATAAGGCAGATATGCTAAGGCCTATAAAGATATATGGTAAATAACTCAGAGCACCTGACTAATTTACCAAAAAAAAAAAAAAAAAAAAAACCAACAACAACAACAACAGAAGCAAATATTACTCTTCACGAACAACTATTTAGCCAATTGTATAGACTTCAAACAGCCAAAACATAAGAGAACTATTCAGAGATCAAGCACTCAACATGTAAGTATAGTAAGATTTGATGCAATACTTAGTCTCAGTTCTAGAGTAATGTTAATAAATAATTAGAGCTTGGTAAGCAGGCTCATTTATTAAAATCAAACAATAGTATTTTGGTATGAGAAAAAAAATAGACTACAACACTTGAAAGAAAGCTTAGAAGCAACCAATCAAGTAGCAAAAGCACTCACCCAGATGCAAGAAGTGAACCAGAAGGGCTCCATGCACAAGCGCAAACCTAGACAATATATGAGTCCATATAGCTTCATCATATCTACAGAGGGAATAATAACATAAAATGTAGTGTAAAGGCAAAAGGAGATAGTTTGCTATTAAACCTCAGATGTGTGGCCCTCTAATATTGTCACGTCAGATGCAGAAATTTCACATCCCACAGAAGGGGACGATGGAGAGATTTCCATGGGCTCAGGATCTGTAAGCCATGACAAAATTAGCTTCAGATGACTAGACAGACAAACATTTTAACCATAAAAATACAGCATTGAAGGAAACAGCAGGCAAAAACATGCAAAAAGATCAAAGCACAGCCTATCATGGACTAGTGTCTACTATAACATTAAATTGCAAATACTTGTTGACTAAGTTGCATTGGTTTCCAGCACTTAGTAACCAAGAAACTGAGACATAAAAACAATAATAGCTAATCAGCAAGAGTATCATATGAAGATGGTAGCACTATTTTCTTCATCGTTTCCTTCACCAACAAAGACAAAATATAGATGGCAACAGCATGATACTCTGTAACAAGATATTGCCCTCACCAATACTATTTAAAATATGACAATAAATAAGGATGCAGAGAAATATTAATTAGCCTACATCCATTGATATGATTTTGCTACGTCAAACAAACTTCACAAAATCTAGGTACTTAATTTAGAGTCAAGTGAACCAACACTAAACAATTTGATCAAACTTACCAAACAATAAACCAAACTAGACCTACTCTCATAAGTTTAATCACAAATCTTTAAACTTTATTAACCTAAATCACACAAAAATTAACTTAAAATATATAAATTCTGGAATAATCTAACAAAGATATCTAGATAAGATAATAAATAAAATAACCAGGACTCCTAAAATAATAAAACACTCTATTTTATATGCGTAAATCAAGTCCTTAAGGAAGTAGTAAAACTGTGTCTAACTGGACTAGGATTAAAAAGATATATTTAATACTGATTGGATTAAGATTAAAAAAATATCATATCATAAACAAAACAGCGACAGGTAAGCATTATCAGATATATTTTTTAGGATAAAAAAGTTAATTTAGAGTTTTAGTTTTGATAACTTTTAATCCTTTACCTACGTAAATAATTTATAATTTTTAAACCATATCTAATAAAATTCCTAATTGACTAATTGGACTAAGATTAATCCTAGTAATTCCTTAACCCCAAATGTCCTCTACCCTGTCCAACCAATACAAGACGCCTAAAACAACCTCATATAGATGACTCAAAAACGATGTTAGCTTTGAGTGTTGACCTATGCTACTCAAATACAGAATTATACAGGACAGGAAATAGAATTCGCATCAAAGCACATAATGAACACATTAAAATAATATACCAGGACAAACTGCATTCTCTTCGTCTTTGATGGCAGGCTTCTCTTCACACTCAACAACATCTTCTTTATCAGACGGATCTTGTATCTTAGGCTTTTCCTCCTCCTCTTTAATAGCTTTTTCTTCCTTTTCTTTCCCAGCTTTTTCTTCCTTCTCTCTCCCAGCTTTATCTTCCCTCTCCTTCACAGCTTTTTCATCCCCCTCTTTTCCAGATTTTTCTTCCTTGTCTCTTCCAGTTTTCTCTTCCTTCTCCTTCCCTGCTTTTTCTTCCCTCTCTTTCCCTAACTTTTCTTCCTTCTCTTTTGCAGCTTTACTGACCATCTCTCTCGCAGCTTTTTCGTCCTTCTCTCTCGAAGCCTTTTCATCCTTCTCTCTAGCAGCCTTTTCATCCTTCACCCTCGCAGCTTTTTCATCCTTTTCTCTCAGAGCTTTTTCGTCCTTTTCTCTCAAAACTTTTTCGTCCTTTTCTCTCGCAGCTTTTTCATCCTTTTCTCTCACAGCTTTTTCATCCTTCTCTTTACCATCTCCATCCTTAACATGATCTTTTTCCCTATCAAGCCTCCTGTTATCTCTTCCTCGCTTTCGTTCTCTATCACGATCCTTTTCAGATTCTTTCTCCTTATCTTTCCTTGAAATTCTCCTCTTCTCTTTAACCATTCGGCGCAATTCATTCACATCCTTAGTGATAAGATCCAAAGGCTGTATAAATGAAAAATCTTCATCCATATCTGCATCACTCTGCAGCACCAAAGAAAAACAACCAATGTCAACATCAAAACCATAACAAGGACAATCAATACATTAAAGATGAAGGTTGCATGTGTTTGCTAACATTATTCACGTTAGCTTCCATTTCCAAGTATTGTAACCCTTTCTGCACAAAGGTGATCAGAGCACCCGGTGGAACTAAATTGCCATCAATGGTGCACTTATTGATTCCGGCTTCGTATCCTAAAGCAAAAGCAGAATGTGTAAACCCTGCAATGGGAAATATGTTAAAAAAAATGCATATGTCAAGGTTGTTATCTTATACATCACTAGAATATAAACATATGGTCCCAATTCTTCCACATCTTGGGTCACGAGCACATTTAAACATGAAATGCTCAATTAAGAATAAAGCAATGCATAAACTAGTAACAAATATGAAGAGTAAAGCATTTCCTTTCAAAGGAAAGGGAGTCCTCTAATACATATCACCATTTATCATTCAAGAAAAACCAAATAAAGTAGAAAACAACCTGATAATCCTAACATTTAAAACTCTGATTAAAGCAAAAACTAATATCATCATTGGCAAGGTCTAGAAATATCTTAATGAACAGAAGTGGATATAAAGTAGAAGGGTAAACCTTATTAAAAAGAAGCAACATGGAGAGTTATATCACTTGGAAAAGCATTTAAACATAAAAAAGACAAAGGGCTTAAAAAGGGGCAAGATAATATACAGCTTATAATATTGAGAAAAAGTGGATATAAAGTAGATGGGTAAACATTATTAAAAGAAGCAACATAGCAAGTTATAACACTAACAGGAAAGGCATAAACACACAGAAGAGACAAGAAACTTATTAAGTGGGCAAGAGAATGTATAACTTCAAATATCAAACTAAGAATGAGATGTACAATTTAAGTTTAGTTCAATCATGATCAAATAATAGAAAAGCAATCAACCTTGACCAATCTATAAACAGATCATAGCAACCTTATCTATAAAAACACCATTTTGGTCTCCTAACAATGTTGCAAACCAAAAGCATTAACTCCACACCCATTAAAGTTATAATTTAAGCTAACTCTATGGCCAAGACTCTTGTATATGACCCATAACAATATTCCCCATATTTCACGGCCAGCCTTCTTATTTCGCTAAAAAAAGAGGCACTCAGTTACTACAGACTTTATCATAAGGTTTTTAACCTGAATGCCAAAATAGCTCCAAAAAACAATCAACAACAGTTTTAATGCAATAAATCACCCTTCAATAAATGGAAAAAATCATCGTATGCCATCTAAGTAAAGCACATTTGAAAGAAAAAAAAAAACAATGAGGCAATCTGAGCACGACATGTTGTGAAAAAATGTATAAAATGCACCAAGCCAATAACTACCAATAGAAATTACCAAAAGAGGCACATCTCTCATAATCAGCATTGTAATTAACATCATAACTAGTAAAAAGCTAAAAACCTTTGAAGAACCTCATAGACTTTACAGTCCTTTTCAGTCGATTAACACGAGCAAGGCCAAATAGGTAATGTATAACTCAATACTGAAGCATTCTATATTAATGATGAAAAATTAAGCAAGACAGCAAAGATTTCATCCAAAAAACAAAAAACAAAAAACAAAAAAATAATTCAAAATACCCTACACATATACAACTTTACACGTAAAATGGGCCTTAAAATCTCAGGAAACAATAATCTACAAGGCCATAAGATTTTGATAAAAACAATAATAATCAGATAGGCAAATAGTAGAGAGGAAAATATAAGCTTGGATAGTTGGGTCTTAAAATTCTAACACATTGTACAAAATCAATAATGGAGCTTCACTAGGAGCTTTCATTAATCAGATGAGGTACCCTCTAGTAATCTTAACTAAATAATTGTGGTCATTCTAGCGCGATATGGCTTTGTGGGATTGAGTCTTGCCATTAAGCAACAAGCACTCAGGTAGACAGGTTTTCTTAGGAGATTCAATTAGCCAAAACAGCTTCTATATCCTACAAAATTGAGAATATCTCAAACTAGATGAATCAACACTTCAACAGTCACACATGATTCCCCAACAATTCACTTTTAGCTCCCATTTCTTCATACCTTCACCATTCCAGTTGTCTAATCTCGAGAAATTAAAGCTGAACCAATCATACATCAATATTACCGGATTCAATAAATTGTCAATTAAGTTTCCCAATCCGAAAAAAAAATCCACTCTACATAGACTGCTCATTTTATCTCGTAAATTTCCACGGCAAAATTCAATTTCCTCAAAGTTGACCACTCACTTTCCACGGCAGTTAAATCCACTCTACACTCCTACAGTACCCTCTCACTCACAAGTCATAACCCTAAATTGCAGACAAAAACTTCAGGATGGCATCTCACAAATTAATCCTAAACATGCATGTCTCTAAACTATCAACTATCATGTAAATTTGCGGAAAATTCACTCTAACAAATAATTAACCTAACAAGTAAGCACCAAAATCATAAACCACAAATCTGAAGAAACCATCAACAATACAATTCCAGAATTTAATTCTAGCCTATATAAAACCAATCAAAACCCTAATTACTTACAAATCCTCGATTCTCAAACACAAAATAACAAAATCAACAAAAATGCAAACAGGAATACTCACAAACACAATCAAAATCTTCGAATCACTGAAATTCGGCAATAATTTGATGAGAAAACAATTCAAAAACCGAAAATCAACAGCATAAATTGGTCGCTTAAATTGAAAAATTAAGATTATTGAAATAATTTTTAAAAATAAATAGAAAAAAGGATGTGAAGAGAAAGGGTAAACAACCTGATTCTTGAAGATAACGGAAAATGAGGAAGTTTAATTCACCGGAAGATATAGAAGACATCGTTGCGAATTTACCGGTGACTGGTGGAATTAGGCAGCCATGAATTCCGTGAAGAGAGAGAGAGAGAGTGAAAGAGCTGCTGATTTACAGGAAAGGAAGTTACGGAGTTCAGAGATTATTTGATGTTGTGCGCCGTTGAAGGTTTTTTTTTACCCAATTTTGGTATGTGGTAAATTTTAGGTGGGCCCGTTAATTGGTTAGAGAAACGGGCCGAAATGGTTCGAGGCGTAATGCAGATACGTAGTAAATAATTACGGTCACGGATTTCCGGCTGTTGTACGATAAAAATATACGGAGTATAAGATATGAGTACATGGTATTTTTTTGAAAAACTAGGGGAATGCGCACGACATAATCAGTTTTTATGGTCGAGTTATAATTGCTTGTCATGACACTCAAAACTTATTGGATAGACTTTTGAACGCATATACTAAGAAATAATTCGTTGACAATCATATCCTTGTGTAGACATGGAAATGTAATACTTGAAAATATATATACACTATTCATATTTTAGTTGCAAGCTTTTTGTGTTGTAATATGGCTTTTGTTGTGATATATAATATACATCCTCCGTCACTTTTAGTTCCAACACATGAAAATATATATACACTATTCACATTTTTATAACTAATCTTTATTTTTATTGACTTTTTTTGTTGGGCAAAATAGTCATGTGGGATCTTATTAGATTCATCTCGATTTATATATATGTTTTAAATATTTAATCTTTAGATCTTTTTACACGTCTAATCAAAGATACGGAAGATTAAAATTATGCATTTGCAAGCTTGAAAGTTAAAATGTTGTAACTAAAGTTAACGGAGAAAGATTCAAAAGAAAAATGTCTAATTAGATGATGAGGTAAGTAAAACACATAGGGAGTGATTTTGATGGGTTTCTGTGCGTGTATGTTTTTTTTTTATTATTTTCTTTTATTTTATATAAGATAATAGTAACAAAGTGGCTTGTATCCATTAGCAGGTGCTTTAATTGAGGACTCCTTTGCTTCAATGAAGGAGAAAAAGAGAGTAGGGAAGTAAAGAAGGAAGGAGAGAGTAATGGGGGTTTAAAAGAGAGGAAAAGGTTGGAAGGGAAGGGAGACTAAAGAGGATAAACAAATATGAAAAGTATAAACACACTTAACAAGTTAATATAACATAAATGGGTATATACGTAAATAAACATATTTAGGGGTAAAAAAGTCATCACACTATTCATAAGAGTTCTTTTAAACTTTTTATAAGGTAGGGATAGGGAATTAAGAAGTTTTTGTAAGTATTACACTTCCTTTTTTAAAACAAAAAACTAAATTTTAATATTATATCTCTCTCCTCTAGCTCATTATCCCTAGCTAATCTCACTACTACATTTTTTATTATTATTTTTCCCCTACTTTATTTCAAATTATCATTGTCAATTGTCACATTGATAAACCAGGGTTTATCATGTGGCAATCTACTACTTAAAGCTAGGGTTGTTAACGAGTCGAATCAAGACCGAGCTACGGTAGGCTCGGCTCGAACTCGATGCTTTGTCGAGCCTGGAAATTTGGGGCTCAGCTTGAGCTCAAGACTTTTAAAGGCTTGAGACTCGTGGAAGCTCATCTCGACTTGGCTTAGCTCGAGGCTTAAGGACTTTAGTATTTGGTCTTTAGTTCATTTAACAAGGGCCCAAATGGTGTCCATATTCATTGTTTCCAAGACAAACAAAGTTTGCTTTTATAACTATCATATTATATCCATTGCCCCTATATTTGAATCTAGGACTATTTCTTCTTCTCCTTCTTCTTCTTCTTCTTCTTCTTCTTCTTCTTCTTCTTCTTCTTCTTCTTCTTCTTCTTCTTCTTCTTCTTCTCTATCTCTCTTTCTCTTGTTTTAGTTTTAATATGTATGTACAATAACAAAAATCCTCAACAAAAGCTTCAAAATTTAGCAAAAACACTAGAGTTATGAAGATTAATTTTAGTCCCTAAGCCTTAAATCACTACTTTTTAAAAGTATAGTAAACTCTTATTAATAGTGTTGAGACTATTATGCCCCTAAAAATATTTATTTACGTATCCCTTTTAAAAGTATGACAACACTTTATGAATAGTGTTGAGACGATTATGTCCCTAAAATATTCATTTAAATATTTTCTCTCATTAATGTTAATTGTTTTTTTAAATCTTAAGAATAGCGTGTGGACATTTATACCCCTAAGATTATTTGTTTACATATTTCCCCTAATTAACGCTACTAACAACGCAACGCCAACCCGAAAGATCCTACGGATATGGCTGGCTATGACGCGCACATCACATGTGTTAGCCGCCCTAATATGAAGAAAAGTTTATGCTAATAATTAATTTATTAGCAAAAAAAGTCTATATTATACAAAAAAAAAAATCAAACTTTTGAGTCAAGCCAAGGATAGCTTAGGCTTGGCTCGTTATGATCTCAAGTTGAACCCGATCTCAAGGCGAGCCTATACCGAGCTTAGTTGAGCCGAGTCTCGAGCAATTCACGAGCTCAGTAAATAGATTAATTGACTTCATCAAGTTTATTTTTAGTCCATAAATGATATACGAAGTATAGATTAATAAATTAATACCCCAATAAATTACCAGTAGATTTGATTGATTCTAATGATTATATGCATGTTTTACAGAATAAATCACCTTAACCCAACTTACTTTGGATCTTTGATGAAAACTAATGTCCTCTTGGACATTTTTTAAAAACAAAGTCTGAATGTCAATATAATTTGATTATTTTGACTGAGAAATTTTATGCAAATTAAATGCTTTGAGTAATTTTTTTAGAAGTCATTTGACTATATCATATTTCGGCACAATAAAGCATGTCATAACACGTTGATGTGCTTTCCATGTCATGGGTTTAGACCTACATGTTTGTTGAACCATCAGAATATCTAAGCACAATAAAGTACGACAAAACAAGTGAATGTTGGTTTAAAAATGCAAAAATATGACATGAAGTGGCCTGGCTTTGCTCCATGATTGGAGGAAGTGAGGAACATTATTCGAAATTGTTGCTTATTACGAATTTACGACCCATTTATAGTGTCAAGTGTGATGACCCTAAATCTTGTGTAACCAAACCAAGGTATGCAACCATGGCCATGGCAAGATACTTTGTACTTTACTTCCCTTAAATTACTATTAATAACATTTATTTTCCTACTACTTATAATTAACAATAATAATTTGTGCCAAAAATCTTCAATTCTTCACCAAATACCTTATTTGGTTGTTGTATAAAACGGAACAAAGCATACATAAAACAATAGAATAGTCCAATTATAAAATTCTGAGTACATGTAGAATCTGGTGACAATTTTTTTTTTTTTGTATTCTGTACTCTGTTCTTACAAAAAAAAAAAAAAAAAAAAAAAAAAACAGAAAAAAAAACGCTAACGTTATTAAAAAATAAGGTAAAATAATGAGAGTATGGGACTACATCATTTATTGGTTAACTTAGCCTTAATAAGTTTGTATTTGACATTGAAATTGTCAAAATAAATTGTATTACCTGCGGAAGACCATTCAAAATGGGCATCATCCACGTCCAAAATCACGACGGCGCTAACATTCGATATAAATTCTCTAAAAAGGCGGTTGTACGTATTGTAAAACAAGTTAAAGTTATGTTAAAAATACTTAAAGTTACCCTTTATACTGCAAAAGTTATTATTTTTCTATTAAAAAATTTTATCTTACAAAAAACTTGTAATGTATTAGATTAATCATATTAGTTTTTATAGTATGTAATCACGAATTTATAAGAAATTACACATTAAAATAAAATTCAAATCAACGATAAACTAACCGTTTACAATAAAAATAGTTAAAGTTACCATAAAAACAGTTAAAGTTATACTCAAACTGACCGTTAACAATAAAATTAACATACGCCCGTTGTACACAAGATTTATTAAACATTCGACTCCATTCCATTTCATGTCACAAGAACGACGTCGTTCTCATAAATTGTACCATCTTTATGAAATCGAAATTTAAATATGGTAGAGGGTAACACTTTATTCCAACCAAGATAATGTAGTTTTGATTCGTTATCTCCATATTTATGGGCGCAATGCACCAACTCATTAACCTTAATAATATTATCACTACTCGAATTAATCTTCAGTCCATTCACAATTTTCCCATGAACTCTAGCTGATACTAAATTCGACATTTTTACCTAAACAAAAGAAACCAAAAATACAAAGTGCAGCAGGATAAGAATGCCATGTATAACACCATAATATTAGCATCTGCCAAAAAATAAATCACCATTGTTTGGGTCCAATTTAGTCCAATTGGGCCTAGGCATTAAATGATCCAATTAAAAGTCCAAGGTCAAGGTTCATCTCTCCAATTGTGCTAAAGTCAAAGATCAGTCCTCAAGGCAAGCCAATTGGGCTAAGGCCCAACTTCTCCATGTATGCAGAGGTATAAAAGTCATCAATATTACATTTGTACATTCATTCAGGCAAAGCCTCTAGCAATTAATTCTCTTGCATAGTGTTCTCTTTCTACACACTGTACTGACTTTAGCATCGGAGGGGCCTTCCTCGGCAACACCCCCGAGGCTAGTTTACGTGTGTTTACTGTGCAGGAAACCTTCGGCCCAACATTACTTGGATCGAATCTAGTCTTCTCCACTTCATCGGACCTTCGACAAGGTCCCATTGTTTTCACCCGAAACAATTTGGCGCCGCCTGTGGGGAAGACTTTCAAAAATCTTTAAGCCAAATTTCTAACCAAGATCATCTTGCAATAATCTTAGTAGCAATGGCTAAGAACCGCAAGAGCAAAGGCCTCCGTCAAGGAGCAGGCGAAAAGCCTAAAACCCCTACACCATCACCCTCGCCGGACCGGAACTCTCCCAAGGGTGCCAGCTCGGGGGGAGGATCATACAGGGAGGATCATACAGGGAGGATTCCCTTTCTCCCGTTATTCATAACTCTCATCATAGGCCGAGTCACTCTCGGTCTAGCAGGGGTGAGTCCGATCATAAGACACATTCAGTGCCCCAAAGCCAACCATCGCCTGTGCGCTCTCATTCCCATACTCGACCGAGGACCCCTTTGGCGGGGCCCAGCTCGGAGGAGGTGGCAAGAGCACT